CGCCCACCCCCTCGCCTCCCCTCCGTGCTGTTCCCTGCCTGCCCTCCTTTCTTCCTGGCAGGGAGCTGGGCATGGATGTGGAGAAGCCCGCCATCCTGCTGGTGGGCGGCGGCGAGGGGATGGGGCCCGTGGAGAAGACCGTGGATGGGGTGGCCAAGGTGGGCACAGGCATGTGCTCTCTTGGTCATGCAGGCGCTGCGCCCGCCTTCATGTGGGACTCTGCAGCGCAGTAGCACACACACACAACGCACACACACAACGCAGACGCATGCCGCATGCCCATCGCTGGCCCGCCCGCCGCCGCGCCCCTGCAGCACATTGGCAGCGCCTGCCAGCTGGTGGTCATCTGCGGGCGCAACGCCAAGCTGGTGGACCGGCTGCAGAGCAAGTGAGGCCCGCAGCGGAGCCGGGGGCGAGCGGCGGCACCAGCAGCAGCAGCAGCGGCACCAGCAGCAGCAGCGAGCGGCAAGGCAGCTGGCCCGCCCCTGCCTGCTGCGTGTCCATCGGATCCCACACTTGCGCATGCGTCAGACAGCGCTGCCCACGCTGTCGCCCAGCCCCTAGCCCTCTCATCCTTGCACCTCTTCCCCCACTCCCCCCCGCGCAGGGCCTACCCCCCCGGCATGCACGTGGTGGTCAAGGGCTTTGTGACCAACATGCCCGAAATCATGTCGGCCTCGGGTGAGCCCCAGCCCCTGCCGGCTGGCCCGCCCGCCCTGCCCGCAGCCGCTTGTGCCTGCCGGCGCCGCACGCCGCCGACGCCTGCGTGCGGCTGGCGAGTCGCCCGCCGCGGCCCCCGCCATTCGCGCCACCCGTTGCTGCGCACCACACCACACCGCGCCACGCCACGCCACGCCGCACGCGCCGCGCCTGGCGCCTGTGCCCCCGCAGACGTCATCATCACCAAGGCGGGCCCCGGCACCATCAGCGAGGCGCTCATCTGCGGGCTGCCCATGGTGCTCAACGCCTTTGTGCCCTGCCAGGAGGAGGGCAACATCCCATACGTCACAGACAACAAGGTGGGGCGCAGGCGGCACGGGCGCAGGCGGCGGGGGCGCAGGCGGCCCAGCGGGCACCCTGGGGCGCAGGCCGGGGCCCGTTCACATGCGGGTCGACAGCGGCTGCTGACGCCCCCCGCCCTGGCTTTGGCGGCACTGCGCCGCAGGTTGGCGTGTTTGAGAAGAGCCCCCAGAAAGCGGCGCAGGTGCGTGGCGCCGCGGCCCGCCCGCCAGCCCTGCTCGGCGTGTGCGGAACGGTGCCGAGCAAGCACCCAGCTGGCCACCCCCACCTGCTGTCCGTGCTGCCCTGCTGCCGCAGATCATCCAGGGCTGGCTCGGGGAGCAGGCGGAGGAGTTTCAAGAGATGCGGCGGCGGGCCAAGGCGCTGGGGAAGCCGCACGCGCTCTTCGACATCTGCCGCGACCTGGCCACCCTGGTGCCCACCGACGCCGCCGCGGCCGTGCCCGCGCTGGCGGGCGCGTGAGGCGGCGGCGCTCGGCAGAGGGGCTGGCGCGCAGGTGCCGGCGCGTGGCCCCAGCTTGCATGCGCTGCCGAAAGGCGCGCTCGGCGAGCAGGTGCGGCAGGGCGGCGTCCTGCTGCTGTCCGTGCACTGCAATACACGTTACATCTCTTCTTTTGGTTTGCTGGCATTGCATCTCAACCCCCATCCCCGCTTTGCTTGGTCCCCTTCTTCCCTCACTCCGGCCCACACCGTGCCTTACGGCAGATGTTTTTGTGCTCGGCCTGCAGAACTGCCCTTTTTCCGTAATGCTGCTATTCTCACTGCGTGATAAAATTGGTTTGGATCACATCATGATGCATCCACTTGTGAGCACTCGGTGATTTCATGCGGCGAATGGCGGCACCGTGCGGGCGGCGACCTGGCGGTGGCCAAGACATGAGCCGGCTCGCTTATTTTGCTAATTCTCGCTCCTGACTGTCGCGTAGTGACTAAACTGCCCGCATGAATGGGCTTGCTGCATATCATCCGAAAAGTCAAGTGCAAGGAGCATGAAATCCGCCTGCTGCTAGTGTGAGTGGCCGCTTGGGCTGCCGACTGATAACGGGGAACCACTGTCACAATGGGCACTGCTGCACTGCCGCAGGGGGCTGGACAATGCCGGCAAGACGACGATAGTGAAGCGGATCAGCGGGGAGGACGCCAGCACCGTCAGCCCCACGCTGGGGTTCAACATCAAGACGCTGGAATTCGGCGGGTGCGTGCGGCGGCGTGCCGGCAGCAGAGTTGACCGACCTGCCGCCGCCGCTGGCACCACGCCGCCGCTGGCCAGCGCCTCACTAGTGCCCTGTCCCTGGTCCTGCCGCCGCCGCAGCTACCAGCTCAACGTGTGGGACGTGGGAGGGCAGAAGACGCTGCGGCCCTACTGGCGCAACTACTTTGAGCAGACGGATGGGCTGGTGTGGGTGGTGGACAGCACCGACCGCCGCCGCCTGGCAGACTGCGCAGAGGTGAGGCTGGCCATCCGAGGTGGTGGCAGCAGGGTTGAATTGATGCTGGCTGCTGTTCGTCGCAGCCAGGGCTGGCTGGGGTAGCGGGCTCTGCGTGCTGATGGGGCTAGTGAGCTGCTGCCACACACAGCGGAGCCGCCCCAACCGCCGCCCCAACCGCTGCTTGGCAGGAGCTGGGCAAGCTGCTGCTGGAGGAGCGGCTGGCGGGCGCCACGCTGCTCATCATGGCCAACAAGCAGGACGTGCCGGGGGCGCTGAGTGCAGAGGCGATCCGGGAGGTGGGCGGGCTGACGTGCGGGTGATGGGGGGGTGGGCGTGGCCGGCACATGTGCATGCTCGCTTCATGCTTCCTTCCGAGACGGTCTGGTTGGCTTCCCAGCTGGTCCTGCCGCTGCACACGCATGCCCCAAGCCTTTGTTGTTGCCTTCCCACCGTGGCCCTCGCAAGTGCAGGCGCTGCAGCTGGACTCGCTGGTGGGGCGCCAGTGGAGCATCGTGGCATGCAGCGCGGTGAATGGCAGCGGGCTGCTGGAGGGCTTCCAGTGGATGGTGCAGGATGTGGCGTCACGCATATACCTGCTGGATTGAGGGGCTACGCAGCGGGCCAACGCCTGCACGTTGGAGTGCCCGCCTGCCTGCCACCTCGTTGCCCGTCCCGTATCTGACACTGCTCCACAACACTGCCCGCACTTCAATCGGAATCACCCCCAATCATGCTTCACAGACTATTTTCACCTGAAATCATGCAATTGGAGCTGGAGTTTGCCCCATGCATTTTGGGCCACCAGCCCGCCGCCGCCAGCTCAGCGTCGCCGCTAGTACATGGCAGCCCGCAATGCCGCTTTCCTCGCCCTTTTGCTTTGGGCCATTTTGTGTCAGCCACAGCAACCATGCAGTGTGTGACAGTCTCACTTTTGGCGGGGTCAGCCCCCATGGGGGCGGCCATCGCAGGCAGGAAGCACAATGCGGCCTTGGTGCAGCGATCAGGGCTCCCCAGACGCCTGCTGAGCGCGCGTAGCGCCACCCCAGGTCAGGGCCCGCCCCAACCCCTCGTGGCCAAGGGCTGGGAGCCGCCGCTGTGTATCGGGCCTGGCCGTCTGGCATCGGCATTGGTGGATAATGACGGCGGGGGAGACTGCGAAACGCCCTGGCGGCCTCTCCTACCCTCCGTCGCAGCGCCTGCCGCCAGGCGCTTCAGCCCCGCACATGCGGCGGGCCGGATAGGGCTTCCTACCTTTCTCCCTGGCTCCCCTGGGCCGGCACATTTGCCCCCATTGCCTGCATGTGCCCAACCCCTCGCCGCTCGTGCCCCCTCGCAGGCCGCCAGCGCGGCGGCGCCCTGGTCTGCCACGCCGTGGCGGCGCCGCCCGCTCCGGTGGCGGCGGCCGAGGAGAAGGTGCTGTCGACCTCCCGCTTCGACGACGCCGGCATCACCATGCACGTGGTGAAGCGCACGCAGCAGGGCGCATCCGGTCCCGCAGTGTCGTACTGCGTTGAGGTTGCCAGCGACCAGCCGCGGCCCCAGCTGGTGCTGCACTGGGCGGTCAACGACTGGGCGCTGCCGGCGCAGGTGGGCGGCTGGGCGGCACGGCTGGGCGGCTGGGGCTGGCAGCAGCAATGGCTGGGGTTTCTGTCCTGCGCCGCTCGGTCCGGCAGCTGCAGTTTGGGAGCCTGCTGAGGAGTAGCCGGCATGCGGGGCACCATCAGGGCATGCCGCGTTCGGGGCAGCCTGCTGCCGCGTGCAGCCGCCCGCACTCGCGCCTGTAGCTTTTGGCCGACCTGCTGTGTTTCCTGCGTGCTTGGCGGCCGCCTGGCTGCAGGACTGCTGGCCCCCGGGCACCAACCAGGCGGGCGATAAGGCGGTGCAGACGGCGCTGTCCGACGGCCGCCACCTCACCCTGACCTTCCCTGAGGACACCTGCCCCGGCCGCGTGGTGTTTGTGCTCAAGGAGGGAGAGAAGTGGTACAACAGCGGCGGCGGCGACTTTGTGGCACACCTCAAGCCGCCGGGCGTGGACGGTGCGTGCGGCTGCCTGCCGTGCAGCTGGCTGTCCATCACCTGGCTGCCGCCGTCACCGCCAGGGCACAGCCCCGCGGCAGCCCAACTGCTCCATAGCGTGTGCCGCCGCTCCGCACTGCACATCCCCTGCCCCGCTGGCCTTCACCGCACCGCCGGCCTCGCCGCGGCGCCTGTGCAGAGGTTCTGGAGAAGGTGCTTCAGGAGGAGAGCCAGAACACGCACTGGTCGCTGTTCAACCGCTTTGTCATGGCCGCACAGATGCTGGACGCCGCCGACGCCGCGGGTGCGCTGAGGGGCGCTCCTTGGCCAGCTAGCGGTGGGGTGGGGCGTGTGCCCACGCAGCCCAGGCTGCCTGCGAGTCGCGGCGCGGAGCAGCAGGCGGCTCGCGCGACCCGCGCAGGCGCTCAGCTGTCGTGCCCTGCTCCTCCCGCCCCCGCAGGCCCCCGCGGCATGGGCTTCTTCTTCACCTGGCTGCGCCTGAGCACCATGCGCCAGCTGGACTGGTGGGTGGTACGGCCGCCTGGCCGGCTGGCTGGCTGGCGGAATGGCTGACCCACTGTGCACCCGGGGCGTGGCACGGCAGCGGCCTGCTCGACCGCTGTCTCTGCCTGCCTGCCCAGCTGTACTTGCCCACCTGTACCTGCCCGCATGTACCACCTGTACTGCAGGTACCGCAACAGCAACTACCAGAGCAAGGACATTGCGCACGTGCAGAAGCACCTGGCTGAGCGCATGGCGTACAAGGTGGGTGGGTGGGGGGTGAGGGTGGCATGGTACTGGTGGCGTGCCAGGCAGCTTGGCGGCGAGCAGCTGCGAGGTGGCACCTGGGATGCGGCAGCACCGGCGCTGGTGCCTGGCACACCCGTCCCCCTGGTCCACCCCACGCGTCCTGCTGCTCCCGTGTCGCAACACCCTGACGGCACACCCTGCGGCCGCCATCCCCCTGCAGGCCCGCACCGCCGACGACCCGCTGTGCCGCCTGTTTGCGCGGCTGACGCTGGCAGGCCTGCCGCGCGGCGGCGGCAACGGCGACGACATCCGCATGGGCATCCTCAACATCATGCGCGCCAACGGCATCAAGGAGGGACACCGCCCGGTGAGCCCGCAGCCCCGCCGAACCGCCTGCTGCCGTGCTGCGCGCTGTGCTGCCCGCGTCGTTGCCTGCCCTGTCGCCTGGCCCGCCCGAGGAGCGCTGTGCCGGCCTCGTTGGCGGCGCTCGGCTCATGGCTGCCTGCCTCCCTGCGCCCACCGCCTTCTTGCCTGCAGGGCATTGAGGATCACTTCCTGGAGCAGGTGGGCTGGCTGCACCGGGAGTGGGTGGCTTGGGAGGTTGGGGGCGGGCATTGGGGCCTTGCTGGGATGATGGCTATTGGGGCCCCAATCCATGCGCCAGCTTGGCGGGCCCGCCCTCACGTGCTTCCCCCCCCCGCGCCCGCCTGCTTGCGCCCCGCAGTGGCACCAGAAGCTGCACACCAACACCACACCCGAGGACGTCACCATCTGCGAGGCATACCTCGCCTTCCTCCACTCCAACTCCATGGATGAGTTCTGGTGGGCTGGCTGGCTGGGGGGGAGGGGAGTGTGTGGCGGTGGTGTGTGTGTTGTGTGTTGTGTTTGTGTGGTGTGTTTGGTGTTTGGTGTCTGTCCATGTGTTGGTTCGTTTTGGGGGAGAGTCCGGTGCCATGCTTGCGCTGGTTTCGGTTCTGGCGTTGCGCCTCACAGCCGCCGGTTGCGCCCCCCCCCCCCTGCGCCGCAGGCGTGTGGCCTGGGAGCGCGGCTCGCTGACCCCGGAGCGGCTGGCCAACATGGACCACCCCATCACCGGTGCGGCAGGGTGGTGCGGTGGCGGTGGTGGTGGTGGTGGTGTGCATGCATGCATGCGTGTGGTGTGTGCGGCGGGCAGGCGGGTGTGAGCGAGTCGGTGCCAGCCGCCTGCTAGGCCCCTGGCCTCACCGCCGCCCTGCGCATCCCACCCCGCCTCACCCGCGTGCACTGTGCGCTGCCGCAGGCTACCCCTGCCACCTGCCCCACCTGATCGACCCCTTCAAGCACTACCTGTGGATCCTCAAGACCACACACTCGGGTGCGTGTGTGCAGGGGAGAGGACATGCAGAGCTGGGAGGGGAGGCTTCGAGCCGAAGTGCCTGCAGACTGGGCTGACCTCCAGTGTGCAGGGCAGGGCCTGCGCAGCACCCCGGGAGCCTCCTGCGCCGCCTGGCGCAGCGTGCTGGGGCCGGTGCACTGCCCCTTGCGTTGAAGCGCCCTCGCGTGTACTGCCGTACGGTACCGTAGGCGCCGACCTGGACACCAGCTTCACCATGGCTCAGGGCCTGCTGGACGGGGACCTGGCCTGGAACATCGGCGGTGCGTGTGGGGGGCGCCGCACCGCATACATGCGCCTGTGTTAGGCACACGCGTTGGGGCTGTGGCAGAGGCTGACTGCTCGTCCACCCCACCTCTGCCACCACACGCGCACACACACCTGCGTTACCCCGCCCCCCCCACCCCAATCCACCACCACCACACACACACACCTGCCCCCCAACCCCGCACCCCACCCCACCCCTGCCGCAGACATGCTGAAGAACCGTGGCGAGTGGTGGGTGCCCGGCAAGATTGTGGAGCTGCGGCACCGGCTGAAGCCGTACTGGCAGGCCGAGGGCTCCTCCCGCGACATCTTGCTCCTCGACATCGCCCTCGACAACTACTTCCGCCTGTGCGTGGAGCGCACAGACAAGGGCGCGCTGAGCGGTGAGGCGGCGTCCTGGCGGGCGGCGCCGGCAGGGGCGGGGGTGCGTGGTGTGCGGGAGTGTGTGCGTGCCCCTGCGTTGCGTGCGCTTGACGGTAAATGTGTTGGCGGTGGTGGATGTGGTGGTGGTGGTGGTGTGTGTGTGTGTGTGTGTGTGTGGAGGGTTTGATGGTGGGCGAGGAGCTGACCTCTCCCCGCGGCCCCTGCCCCTGCGCTCACCCCTGCCCTTGCCCCGCCCCTCCCCCTTCGCTCCCCCCATGCAGGCGACGACCTCCTCAGCCTGGCTGTGCTGGTGCTGGACAACGCATCGGTGTCTGCTGAGAGCGCCGAGCTCGACCAGTGCCTGGCGCTGTGGCGACGCCTGCAGGAGGACGGCGCCGCGGGTGGGTGGCAGGCTGCGTGGTGGTGGGGGGGGGGGGGGCGCGCAGGCCGTGGCCCCGGCTGTGGCGAGTGACCGAGCGCGGTTGTTTGCGGGTGTGAGGTTGTACTTGTGTGTGTGCGTGCTGGCGGGGCGCCGGGAGGCAGGG